GCACTGGTGGTCTCTCACAATTGCCAAGGCCAAGAACCTATACCGAATCATGGTTGTATTGAACGGCGGCAGCAGATACTACTCAGGGAGGATATTATTGTCGACGGGGCTGGCGTTGTTGAGCACCTAGGGCATGCTTTACAGACTTCACAAGCACGGACTGATGAAAAGCTGCTTGAAGTATCTCAATACGCACGCGATCACGTCGTAAATACGACCGCAGATTCAGAGCAGCGCCAGGGGTCTCGTATAAGCAAGTACTTTGAAGATGACCAAGTCCGCTTGGAAGCGATGAACAAGTTTCATATCGATAGCCAAGCTGCGGAAATAAGTAAACGTCTTATTGATGGTGTCCAAGATATTCATGACCGCGTCGACACCACTATGAAGGCATCATTTCAGATGTTTGCAAAAGAGTTGGGCCAAAAAATCAATTCCACTTTGACGACTATGGAGGGTGCGATAAATGAACACAAACAATCACACGCTTTTGAATGTGAACGGCGCCTAGATGCGCCACTTAAAGCTTCCCAAGACACATTTGAAGCCACTACGGACTTACAAACGGAGTGGATTGAGCGGAGACTTAATGCCAAGCTGAAGGCGGCAGTAGAGAGAGAGAGAGTAAAAATCTTCCGTTCGCCCAGCAAGACAACTTGATGAAACAAGAGCAAAAATTACAGGGACAAGCTGCTTAACTGGCGAAAACATATGCTGACAGCATTGAAGATCGACTTCAACAAAAGCTTGATAGTGCGATACGTGTCGCTAGCCTGCATACCCATACAGAATTTGAAGAACGCTTTGTCGGCATGACGAAGAAGTTGAAGTGCGATCAAGTGGCATTGAAACAGGATCTTCGCGATGATATTCAAACTAACGCGGCTAAACTCGAAACGAAGTTTCAATCGCAGCTCCGTGATTTCCAGGCCGCGTCAACTACGGACAACAACAACCTAAACCATCAAATAGCCCAGCTAAATGCAGCTACCGATCGTTTGAACACTCGCCTATAGGCTGTCGAAAACCAAGCTGCAGAAGGAAAGGATTTCACTTGCAACAACACACAGACGGACTTACAAAGAAAGTGTTGAATCGGGTAACTAGTGTTCCAGTCACCTCCGCAACAATAGCTGACACGGTTACAGATATTACTACAACATCTCATGAATATTAGCACTTGTCAGGTCGACGAATTGATGTACAATCTCGTGGAAACACGGATAGCGGTGACCCTGCTGTACTAACCGCACTTAATCAGATCAATTTGGGAATACAAGCGCTTCTTCGCAAGCAATTGACGCCATCAAAACTCCAACCGACCGCAGATAAGACTACAACGCCAGTACCAAGCCGCCGGATCACGCGACGATCGGCTGTCCCGCGAAAACCCAACAGACCACCTAAACGAAATGCACTTCTGACTACTGCTCGGGATGCTGCGATGAAACAATCCAAGATCGAGCTACGAAGCGTTAAAAGGAATTACGCAGTGGAAACCGAAGGGTGTGACGCGGTTCATGAGCGAATCAAATGGCTTCCGATACAGGAAATAAAAAACTGTATAGGCAACTTGTGCATGGAAGTACTGAATTCGCTATTAACTTGTACGTGGTCTAACGTCATACTCAGTATGATACACAGTTCGTAGTAGTACGGAAGACAACAACAAACCCAAATGCATTTTATTCAGCTTGGTCGTTCTCGTCTAGTTCGCTATCAAACAAACAAGACGCCATCTCGCGTTCCCATTGCGCAGCAAATGGCAGATTGACTTGACTTGAAGCTAGCGGAACTAGTACATTTGCTGGTACTGCTTGTTCCAACTCTGAATCTGTGAGTCGAGGACAATTGACCACATCGACAAATTGTCGATTCCGATTCAAAAAGTAGCAGATGGCGATGTTGTGTTTTGCAATACTAGTGTGATAGCTGGTAACAAGCATTCCGCTGATACCGAAGTCTCTTTCGATTTGAGCAGACGACGCTGGAATAGCATAAATGACTCGAGCCGCGATAGGTAATAGTCGATAGTTGTTTTCATCTTGTTGAAGCTTCCAAAATTGCAAGATTGATTCGGTTTTGGTCGTCGTTGTAAGAAGCCTACTGGGATCGGAGAACCACCGTTCGACTTCTTTATCAATGCGTGCCTCATGTACATTTCGCCACTCTACATGCTCGGCAGCTCTTCAGCAAATTCCATAAGCTCCTCAGAAAAAACTTGAGGAGGATGTATAGACGGAAGCTCGATAAATGAAGATAGAGACTCGAAACCCGGTGGCAAATGCTGAGGTGTAACATGTTGCGAAGACATACGGTACGTTTCTGCCGAAGTCTAAGTGTGCGTGCTACCGCTAGATTTGGTAAGCATTAACGCTCGTAGCCGCTTCAATACAGCTTCCTTCACACTGGCAATATTTCGGGCAACAGCAGCTTCATCCATTCGCAGGTGGGGCTGCTCCGGGTCGATAATCAACTGTTCATTTCAAAGTCGGACAATCTTAGCTAGATTGACATCTTGGTTTTTCAGCGACGGGTGTAACAGCATCTGAACCTCTGGAATGAAAGATGATTCGCGGATCCGTGCGTGGTCCGTGTAGCGAATGAAGAAAGTTTTGTGAAACGACTTCGCAAGTAGTGCTCGCGTCGAGTTTACGAGTCGCGTGAGGTCCCGGACTTGGTAAAAAAAAAAAAAGTGGAGGATCGGTTGGTGCCCGCATTTTGTCTTTGACGGGCTGGGTTTCATCCAGAATTGTTTTGCGCAGTCGAAAGACTGACAATAGGA